GAAGATGGGAGGTAATATCAAGTGACCTAATGTACATGTATAACGTGTTTTAACAGGAAATAGAGAAAAATCTGGAAGACATATTTATCAAATTTTTAGCCAAGAAAAAAATTGAAATTGACAAGTTCTGGGCAAAAATAGTTGTTTTTAGTCAGAAAATGATGATGACAATATTGCTGTATCATGTAGAAGACACAAAGCCAGATCATCTCTCTTTAACCCTTAACTGGACGGGTTGGGTAGATTCAGCCCATGCATAAATTTGATATAGGAAAAAAAAATTTTTTTCGTTTATACCTAGAGCTACCAGCTTTCATGTATTCTAATTTTACAGTGATACAAACATTTTCCATCCAACGTTTATAAATTTCAGTTTTGGGAGGGGGTTAAATTTGCATGTGTGGGCGGATTCCACCCAGCCCGTCCAGAAGCGTGAGAATTTTTCGTGTCAGTGTTAGCTCGTGGCTCATACTTGAGTCTCTATCTTCCGCTATTTTTAGCTTCCTTTTTTATAAAATAACACTTATTTCTTTGGATAAGTAGAATTATCAATCAAGTCAACAGAGAGAACTATCCCTGCCAACCCAAAATATATATGTTTTAGAGATTAGTCGACCACACTTTGGAAGAAATATTCCGTCAGACAATTGGTTCACTTCAGTAGAGTTAGTTGATAAGTTGAAAGAACATGGCCTTACATATATAGGAACGATGAGAAAGAAAAAACCTTAGATTCACCACAATTTCAACCGCACCCTAATAGAGAATCAGGAACCTCTATTTTTGGTTTCTCTGGAACAACCACTTTAGTCTCCTATGTTCCAAAAAAAAAAAGAAGTAAAGAAAATCGGTAATCAGATTGATAAAAAGGGTAAAAAGGAAAGGAGTCCTATTATTGATCTTGGGAAAGCATTGACTGATAAACACCTGGCCACACGTAATCTCAATTCTCTCCCACTGCAATTACAGACAACAATTCAAGAAGAATGATGGTTCAAGTTAACCAAGTGAATCTACGATGCCACAACAATCTGATCTCCAAAAAAGTGCTACAAATGTCCATCAAAAAGCGCAGTAAAAATAAAAACCCTTTGCTCTGTATGTCAACTAAGCGTTTGCAATAACATTTCTTAAGAATTTGTGAAAACTGTAAATAGATTATATTCAGAATTTTTAAAAGTCAAAATCTGTATATTAACTATTTATTAATTAAATATATGGTGAATCCCCAGAATTGGGTACATTTGGTAGGTGGCGCTGTACGTTGCCACCGCCGTACCTTAGAGGCGTTTTACACGAGTTAAAGATACGATTTTGGATGTAGTGATTTATACATTTCGATCTTTTATATTAATGTATATATACTTACTATGCACGAGTTTAAAATATAATTTCGGTGAAATACTTTGAATTGTACCAATTTATTTTTAATTCACCAATATAATTTTAAAAAGATTTAACAGTTAAAAAACATTTTTTAAAATAAAAAATAAACTTATTTTTCTAAAAACGAACATTATTTTTTTAATTATCTGAAACTAACCTAATTCAGCTTATCTAAAACTAACCTTATTTATAGATTAAACTTACCTAATTTAACCTATCTGAAACTAACCTATTTTAATTAATGAAACGAACCTTTTTATAACACCTTAAAATAACCTAATTTATAACCTATCAGAAACTAACCAAATTTATAAGCCGTCTGAAACTAACCTATTTTACCTATTGGAATATAACATAACGTCATGTTATTAAAAATGTATTAAAATTTTTTTACAAAGTTTATTAATCACATCTATACAATATTTGTAAAATAAATATAAAACTTGTGTATAAATATATGACTTGAAAATATGCCACTTAAAATATTTTAAACAAAACTATACAGATTTTTTTAATAGAGATAAATAAAAAAATACATAATTGATTAGATACAAAAGTGTGAACCAGAAAGTCTATTTTTAAAAATGTTATTATTTAATATTATAAACGTATTTTAATTTAAATATGAAATTAAAAAGGTAGTGTAAATATAAATAAGGTTAGTTTTAGATAAGTTGAATTAGGTTAGTTTCAGATAATTAAAAATATAATGTTCGTTTTTAGAAAAATCAGTTTATATTTTATTTTAAAAAATGTTTTTTAACTGTTAAATCTTTTAAAAAATTATATTGGTAAATTAAAATTAAATTGGTAAAATTCAAAGTATTTCACCGAAATTATATTTTAAACTCGTGCATAGTAAGTATATATACATTAATATAAAAGATCGAAATGTAGAAATCACTACATCCAAAATCGTATCTTTAACTCGTGTAAAACGCCTCTAAGGTACGGCGGTGGCAACGTACAGCGCCACCTACCAAATGTACCCAATTCTGGGGATTCACCTAAATATATATATTTTAAAATATTGATTTCAATCAATATTTAGCGCTTATTTCATAAAGTTACATAAGTGGGTTGAATCTACCCAACCCGTCCAGTTACGTAAGTAAAATCCACCCGTCCAGTTAACGTTAAAAATATTGCTTCTCATACACAATGTTTGGAGCGGAACGTTTAACAAGAGTGACATCCACAGCGCCAATTTATAATTGTAACAAATAGTATTTGAATAAAAACATTTAATCGGGTATGGGCGTTGCCCAGGTCACCGGGCTAGTATCTGATACAAAAATTGAACTTGTTACATTTTGAAGGGGAATTATTCAGTGTAATAAAATTAAATTATATTTTTAATGTTGACAATTTTTTTTTTTTTTGGAATTAATGGAAGCAATCTCTAGAACAGTGCATAAGTAATGCTCGGCAGACGAGGGTGAAGGTCGATTACGTCACTTCCGGCCCACTTCCGGCCGTACTTCCGGCCAGGATTAATGTGCGTCTCTCTTAATTTTTAATATTAAAAATTAATATATCAAAAATTATCTCAAAATATATATTATATTTTTATTAGTATTATTTTCTATAAATAAATAAAATTGAAAACGAACCCTAAATTTGAGATTTTATTAATTAAGGTTGTGAACAATTAAACTTAAACGGTCATTTGATGATTATAATAAGATATTTAAAAAGTGTGGTAATTCATTAAAAATATTAATTTATACTTAAAATATAAATAAATGTATCTGCTATATTGAAGGGAACTTTGGAATTAAGGTGCCAACTTGAAAGTTAAAAATGTTTTAGACACATTTACTGAAATAGCCAAAAGGAAATCGATCATTAAGTATATTACACTATGAAAAACTTACCTAGTTAACCTTATACCTTTATAATTTTTATAAAAATAAAAACAAATGGATTTTTCCTTACGCAACCAAATCAAAGTAACAAAAGAAACCAAAAGTTATCAGTGCAGTGAGTGTGCTACCAAACCTTTTAAATATTTTCTACAATCTAATCACAATAATCCTAAAGTCCAGAAAATTTATTATTTTTACGCTATAATATATAATGAGGAAATATATTATATTTTAATATACTGAAGAATTTTTTTTATTTAATTAAAAATATATTTTTTAAAATACAATATAACGCGGCTGATGTTTGTAAAACGAAAATTGCAATTATACCGCGAATGTTTCTTTTATACAAAACTCGAAATTTCTCTTTAAAAAATAAATTTCGATTTTTGTATAAAAGAAACATTCGCGGTATAATTGCAATTTTCGTTTTACAAAAATATATTTTATTAAGAATAATTTCTATTTTTGTACTTATATAAAGGTTTTAGACATTTAGGAAATTTTAAAAGTTAAAAGCGACAATTTATGTTGTTTTCAACTTTTAAGCTTAATGACGAAAATTTATAGTTTAAAATATAGGTAATTAATAAAGAAACTTATCCTTTTTGAATCTTTTCGTTATTATAATTAATATAGGTATTCAAGGCCAAACTTGCGTGAATGTGTTAAACATATGAAAAAATAATTTTAAATATTTAATAATTGAAAAAATTATAAAGTTTGCCTTAAATACCCATTTATTGATTTCCCAATAGCCTTTGAGACCAAAAAAATTTTGGTTGAAGAGGTACAGCCTGCAACACGCTTACGAGGGCCCAGAAACGCAGGTTCTTGGTTTGATTTTCTTGATTTATCAAAAAATGGGTTGGCCAAATATCAAGGAACAGGTTATATCAACGTTTAATTTATTTCTGTTCCACTAGATGGAGCTTTGCCATATAAAAAACGTACATGTTAGTGGTAAGGATATGCCTAATTTGTTTTTAATAGTTATGTTAAATGTTGTTGCGCGCGCGCCCCATTTATTCAAAATAATCTCTGGTATTTTAAATTTATTTAAAATATTTATTTTAAAATATTAATTTATTTAAAATAGAAGCGGGACCTGCACCGCCTTCATCGAGATGGACCTCAAGACCTTTAGAGCCCTGGGCGTTCGCGGGAGAATCGTGGTTGATGGAGTTATCCTCAACTTCGAGGTCCATCCGCGCCCGCGTCTGCTTCCGCTGTTGTGGCTTCGGCCTCAACTCTGCCCAATGCTCCAGAGCTCCTAAGTGCTTCCACTGCGGTCAAGACGGCCATGAAGGCCGCGCCTGCCCATCCATTGCTGACCAGCACACCTCCAAATGTGCCAACTGCTGCTCCAAGGGCCTTCCTGACAAGCACGAGGCGAGAGCCTCAAGCTACCCCATTCTGAAGTCTAGGGCCCTCAAGTTCTAGGCTTCAAGGACCTTCTGCCTCCAATTCCATCTGCCACTTCTCCTGGATTCCTGGCCTATTCAAGGCATCCGCCTCACTGCACCCTGGCGCTGTTCCCCTGCTTGCCCAAAGTTTCCACCACCCCTGCAAGACATCTCCTGCCGCCAGATCCTAAGGTCCCTTGCCACCTGACATCGAGTTTGGGCTCGAAAATCATAACTTTTGGTTAGTAGCCCGTAAAAACATATTTTCTCTCTCTCTCTGTGTGTGAAGTTCACTGTGTGAAGTTCATAGATTTTGGTCAGAATGGATAAAATAAAAAAGTGTCAAGGGATGGGAATCGAACCCACGACCTTCCGCTTGACCTTCCGCTTACCGGGCAGATGCCATGACCACTAGGCTACCCTGGACATATTTTTCCGTTCATAAAGTTAATATATGATGCCAATATATATAATAATTGTATAAACGAATGCAAGACAAAATCACCGCGAATGTTTCTTTTTTTAAGGCAATAACTAATAATAGTTCGCTTAATAACACATATAATATAAATGTTTATATAATAACTGCTCTAATTTGAAATATTTGGTAGGTTTTATTTATTTATATATTTTCATTTTTAGATATAACTGATCTAATTCGCCGTTTAAAATAACTGCTCTAATTCGAAATTCGAAATATTTGGTACGTTTTTTTTGTGTTCACTCTATTTCTATTTATTTGAAGTATTATAATTTCTAAGTTTCAAAAACCTATTTCAAAAAGGTCGTTAGAAATATGTAAGGCCTGAAATAGCTTTACATGCGAATATTTATAATGCCAAGCGTAGCTTAATGGTTAGGTGTGCGGCTTCGTATTTCCACAACCTTGGTTTGAAACTTAGCCTGGGTGTTTTTTTTTTATATTATTGAAGCAAAGTTTTTTTTACAGTACCAAAATTTCCATAGGTAAAAAAATACGAGGAAAACGATAGGCTATTTTAAATATATATATATATAAATGAATGTATGTGTGTGTGTGTGGTCTGTTTGTCCTTTATGCATGACCAAACCACTCATTGGAACGCCATGAAACTTTGGGAAGTTATTTAGTATAGTACTGGGAAGGTTTCTAGCAAATAAAATTTTTGAAATAACTTTTCGCTTTAAAATAATCAAGATAAATATTCTAATTTATCTGTTATAATTCAACAATCTGCTCTAAATATTATCATGATGATACGATGATTTTGTAATGTAGAAAATTAGGAAAGACAAAATTCAGGATGACACGGCAATTTATTTGAGACAAGAATAATGATACAATTCCAAAGCAAAGATACTATTCCTTTAACTTCCAATTACCGAGGGAACCAATTAATATTGATTTTATTCAACTTATCGAGTATTTTTCAAGGGACCGGGAAAAAATGTTCACTAGATAAAACGATGATTTTGAAATGTAGAAAATTAGGAAAGACAAAATTCAGGATGACACGGCACACAGGGACCGGGAAAAAATGTTCACTTTATCGAGAGATACAAATTTACGATTTTCAAATTATCAAAATATATCTATTATATTTTTTAATAAGTTTATAGAGAATTGTTTTAACAAATGTTCGTCCGCTAGTTATATATAAATTAAATATTAAAACTATATATTCAAATTATTCTACTTAGCTCACGAACTGCGCCCTCTATCAAGGTTATAAATACGTTTAAAATCGAAATCTTCTCAAAATTTTATTAATAATAGTTCGCTTAATAATTAGAATACTTGATCTAAATCGAAATATTTATATACGCTCGCTCGATTTGAAGATTTATATCGTAACTAATCTCACTGTAAAGTTTGGAGCGGGACGTTTCACAAGAGTGACATCCACGGCGCCAATTTATAATTGTAACGAATAGCTAGCGTTGAATAAAACATTTAAACCCAGGCATTCGTCTAGTTGTTTATATCTGGCTTATTTATTTTGGAGACAAAGGACCTTTGCAAAGACTGAGGATCTCACTACTAACTAAACTTAACAACTTTGAAAGGTAATTTACTTTCATTCACTTTTTTTTTATTTGTTCAAGTATGGAAGCCTGCTCGGGAGACCTGTACAACTCCAAGAAGAAGGAAAGCAAGGTCGATGACATTGCAAAGCTGCAACTGTTAGATCGTGATTTTTGTTCTAATAGATGTATCTATTTTGACCATTGGATGACATATTAAATTCATAAAGAAAATTTTATTTTTTTCTTAAAAAGTTTTACCGCGGCTATTACTCAAATATTGATCTAAACAAATTTCAACACCAATATTGTGATATATTACCAAAGGGACAAGTCTCAAATGGGCTAACCAAGAAATTTGGTGTGAGGTAAAATAAAAAAAAGGAAACAAATGATAAATTTAAAATGCATATGAAATTTATTGCAATTAGATATTGAATATAATGTAAAACAAAAGAACAAAATTTGTATGCAAGACCTTAGTTTCCATTAAAGGGCATTTCTTCTATTCATTATACTGTTGAAATAAAAATTTGAATTTTTCTATTCACTATACATATTGTATAGTAGACTTTACAAAAAAAATTATTGCCTATTAAAAGCTATGAATATGCCCTTTTTGACATAATAAACGAGCCCTTTATGGGCCCATACTTAAAGATTAATAAAGAAAATATTAACCTACCATTTCTCTCCAGACACCATCTCCCAGCCTCCCATCAGGTCGCGAGCTCTCTCAAGACTTCCTCTCAGTCCGCGTGCTTCTTCATGACTGTCTCTAATTTTTAAATGTGGCGCCCTCAAAAAAATTTTATTCCCTTCTTACAGAGTAAGAAAAATATTATTTTAATTTTCCCAGAATATTTAAAATAATAAAGGTAAATTATTATTCTTTAAAAAAAATTGAAATAATAATAAAATAATAAAATATAACATGTTTATCCCTTGAGAAATTTATATAGTAATTTCTTCTTTAAGAAATTTAAAATAAAGAAATATACCCAATTTATCTGGATATGTATGTAATTGACTTTATTCATTTTAGAATAAAAATAGATAGTAAAGGTAAATTATTATTCTTTTTTCTTATTAAAAGAAAAATTTGAATTAGTAATAAAATAATAAGATATAACATGTTTATCCCTTGAGAAATTTATATAGTAATTTCTTCTTTAAGAAAAATTTAAAGTAAAGAAATATGCCCAATTTATCTGGATATGTATGTAATTGGCTTTATTCATTTTAGAATAAAAAATAAATTTAGAAATTTCTCGAAAGGGTAATATAATTTTGGACGTTTCGTCTTGCATACAAACGGTGATTGGCAATAATACACATATTTACATATTTATAATTTGTACACCCTCCTCTGGACCTTTCTGCAGCGGGCTTCGGGATACATGGACAGGGTCAGTGTCATCTCCAACTGGGTGTCTTCCCCGCTTTGGCCTTTAAAGCATCGTTGGGTTTCCTCGTTGGGGAATTCTCCACCTGGGCAACAAACATTTCGGCGAGACAATGTGCATAATATGATGTAAATGTTTACATCATTGTTGGGTCTGTTTTGTGAAAATCTGGCCCAACACAACTTGGTCCACACAACAATATCTATATATATATTTATATAAGGTGTTAATATTACATGGTTGGCTTTTCTTGATTTATCAAGAAATTGGGTTGTCCAAATATCGCGGAACTAGTTAAATAAACGTTTATTTTGTTCTACTAGATGGCGCTCTACCATCTAGAAAAATGCTCATGTGAACACAGTCAGAATATGCCTTTTTATTTTTAATATATATAAATATCGTTTTAAAACAAAAATACAGACTGTGCCTTTTTGCATGTATTGACAAGATGTCAATAAAATTATTTTAATTTTCAAATGTCTATAATACAAATTATACCTAATCAATTATTTGTGATTGTAATAATATAGCAGATATGATTATAGGTACTTTCAATTGTAATGTAATGTAAATATTTGTGTGTAAGTAGAGAAAATGTAATCATAATTACATTTTGCCCAACACTGTTAGAGATGTTACTAATGTATAAGTTATGATCATTAAGTTCCTGGACTCGCTTATTTAAAAAATGGACGAGTTTAAATAAAATAATATAACATTTTTGAACCAATGGGGATCAGAATTTAACATTTCGACCATGTTTTTGCACGTTTCTTTGCGATGCTCATTCTTTAAGAGATGTGGGACAAATTTAGCTGGGATCGTTTAAGATGCAGATCATTCTTTATGATGGTTTGGCATTTTCCAAAAGAGATATCCAAGTCTTCTGATAGCTCTCTGAGGGTTATTCTCGGGTTTTATTTGATCGATGACTTGATTTTGAGTGAATTTTCAGGGTTTCTTATCGATAAAGGTCTGCCAGTGTGTAGATCATCCTTGACGCTTGTTCGACCAGCTTTAAATCGTGCAAACCATTCAAATGTCCTCGATTGTGATAGGGCATCTTCTTTAAAAGCCTGCTTCAACATTTGAAATGATTCAGAAGCTGTTTTTCATAATTTAAAGCAAAACTCTATGCAGACTCGCTGGTTTTCAATACAGTCCATACTGAAGTTAGATGTTCTGATATACTCGAGCTTATAAATCCGAAAAAACGTGAGTGCGTGCTTCTGTGTGATCAATTTTTTTCTACGTGTTGATAAATGTTTTATCTATAAGGTCCTTATAAAATTATTTCATTATTTTGAATATTTTATGTGATCGTCTCATTCCTGGAAATTATTGATCACACGTAATATTACTTGGTAGAAAAAGTAAAACGACCAGTCTGGGAACTTAATGATCATATCTTGTATGTGGACACATCAACTAAAAAGATTGGGGTAAGATCCTATAATTTATGACATTTGCCTACAACACAGAGAGACAAAAATAAAATGTTTCACATAATATTTTCCTGTACATAGAAGTGAAAATAATACCATATTTACCTTGCTATTTCCAGAGTTAGTTTCAGAAGAAAATGACTTCATCCAAACTCAAAGATCAAGAGCTGAAGAAGCACGACATGTGCATGTACTAGTAGCCAGGAAGTCTAAAGAAAGTAATAAATTCCGCTAAGATGCCCATCCCATTTTCCAGTCAGGAAATCTCGTTTGGATATTTACCCTAGGACTCAAAGTAGGAATTTCTGAAAACTATTTCAATGTTACTTCAGCTCATAAAAAGTCAAGGAAAATTTCGATGTGACCTATGTAGTGGAGACATTTGGAATCCATCAACATAAAACAAGGAATAGTTCACATTTGTCTAATGAAGACTCACTTTGAACCAGAAGATCTGGAGGACCGTTCCCAAGAAAACATTGATGATCGTCCCTACCGCTTTTATTTGGAATTAAATAAATCAAAATTTTCAATGGCGACAGCTCTACAATATTTATTTATTTTTATCC